GGAAAGTAGGTCAAGGGTCCTCAGGTCAGCTATTTGGAAAGCGCTCCCTGCGAATTTGCATGACATTGAGGCAGCGGACATTGAAAAAGGCAGTTGGACACTATTGTTGGCTGTACGCCACAAGTGGTACCCCACACTGGTCAAAAGGTTGCGGATTCGAACCTCGGGTGGGTTATCACTTGGGGTTGGGGGTGACTGGCTGATGACGGCTAGTGAGTCAGAAATGAAAATTTCAGTCTACCTTGTCTTTACCGGCAGTGCTATCTGCCCAAAACATAATTTTTTACCAGATAAGTGCAAAAAGGGTATTTTTTCTAATGTCTTCTATAAGCTGTATATGAATTTATAATGGTATGAAGAAATATATACAACTTCGGTAGTTATTTTTACTGAGTGCTGTTGTTGCAGACAGTCGCCTTGAATCTCATCTACAAGTCGACCTCTTGCCGTGACGAAGATTATACTGCAAGATGGTCAATATTACAATCTCAGTTAAGTACTCATTTCTTCTCGGAAACACAGTTTGGTTAACATTTCGTGACACAAAGGGGCGTCTGTTCTAACCACTAGTGTGTCACCCATCTTAGATGTTGTTAATACCTCAGTGTCAATTTGTGAAGAATCTTAAGCTGCTTGTTCGTCGGGTGCACGACCTTTATGCTCCATACTTGTTTATACCTTTTTCAGACTCACCCAATTTGAACCTCTACCTGGAATCTATCTACTCCTCACAATACGACCAAACTCATCATCATCGTCAATCAGGTGACAATTCGGCAGTCTCTGCAGCCCTCCTAGGGTTCCGTTTCTTGGCCACCGCTGCCGCGAAATTTGCCCAAACCTTGGACAAATGCATGGACAGCTACGGTGAGTTGTAGTGTGTAATGTGCATATTTGCCGGCAACAGATGTTGACACGTCTGCCTGTGTGACACACATTTACCTCACCTTTAAGAACGAGTTTCCTGAAATTTTTTAATATCTTTTCCAGTGCCAAACACATCCTCTTCCGATGTATTTGCGCTGTTCAACGCTTCCGCTGCGATCTTGGACTATGTAAATTACACGCAGCTACATGAGCAAATTGAAAAGTACTCCTTCCTCTCAACCAATCAGCTTTCGACTGCCCTGGCCCTCCGACCTACCGTCGGTCGGCCATCTTTGGTTCTGCGGGTTGGGCTCTCCCCGATCGGACCGTTAGTTGAAGAAGAAAAAGGAACCCGCAGTGTGCTCGAGGTCCT